ATAGTAATCAGGTTCTAAGGGATCTCAATATCACTGACCTTTCTTTTAGGCATTATCTTAGCTCAATCAATAATTTCTTACGGCTGAGATATCCAAAAAGTCCGGTCTCAATGAGTGTAGTATCGAGTATCAACCAATTTTCAGCTTTCCACCGAAACCGGCTATCTCACTACTTCCTAATGGACAAGTTGTTCAATTAAGGTTCTAAGGTCAGTTAGTGCTTCATAACACCACTCAGCGTCCTTGTATTCTCCTCGATTCAACCCAAGGGATACCGATACCAACAAATGCGTCACACTAACGTAGCCATTGCTTCAACCATGTCGGTCTACGCCATACAGTTTCCACAATCTACTGCTACTTACCTAAAAGGTTTCCCAGATCCAGATAGAGGATCAAAACAAGCCCAAACAAGGAACCAGAATGTAAAGAAAGCAAGTCAAACAAAGAAAACAAGTAAAGGTGATATAACCCTAAGGTAACCCCACTTATAAGTATATCCTCAGTAGATTCGCCAGTTCTATAACACGGTGGGAGAACTAATTTGGGTGTTTTGTGTTTTATCACAACTATTGTGGATAGCAAGAGTCGCCACCGAATTTTTTTTATCCAATAAGGAAAGGCTGAAAAGAACAGGAAAGACCTTTTGAGATTATTTCTTGAGTCCGGGGGGTAGGTTATGAAAAGGGAAGGTATTAGCACCCTTTCCATCTGTAGTTATCTACGGGCTCTTAGTTGCTTGCTAGATCACTTGATTTTGTTTGAAAATGTGCTTGTGGTGTGGGTTTTGAAAGTATTTTGAAAATGTTTTTGTAATGGTTCTCGTTTCTATAAGAATGCGTACAAAGTGTTGTTTGGAAAATAGTTCAAAGAAGTGTTTTGTGAAGTGTGTTTTTGAAAGTGATTTTGAAAAGGTGTCTTTGTAATGGCTCTCGTTTCTATAAGAACGCGTATAAAGTGTTTGTCTTTTGAAAATGTTTCAAAATGAAAATGTTGGTGTATAAAATGTTTTTGTTGTGAGCAAGCGAGCAACTAGGAGCAACCTACCTACTCAAAAGGTCTTAAATGTTCTTTTCCTCCTCCTTTAGATGTTCCTTCTCCTTTTGTAAGAAGCCCCATCGTTGGATGTGAAGAACAGGCGTGGGACGTTTGTGTAGTCATAAAAGGCAACCTATGGGACATTTTAGCAATGTCTTTTAGGGACTAGATCGTTTACCGAAGGTAACATCGAGGGTCATCGAGGGACTACGATCTTTTATCGAGGGTCTTTGCTAAAATGCCCATATTCGAGGGATAATGACTATTTCTCCGAGGCAACAAGTGGGATTACCCTAAGGGTGCATGTGTGAATAGTGTGTTTGATTTTCATGCATTTTTGTATTTGATTAGGAGTTGTCTACTTGTTGTTTTTTATCTTTCCATACATACCCTATTTTACTAGCAAGCATACAAAAGTAATAAAATGCATAAAGATAAAATCCTACACTATAACAACCATATTGAATTGCATGAAAATATAAAGGCAAAAATAAAATAAAAGCAAGAAAAAATAGGGTATTTCGATTGAGGCAGAAAACCCTTTGATTCTACACTTTCTGGCTCTCTTCGATTTGGCCTGAAAGGGGTTAAGGCGTGGCTTTCGACTGGGGCATGGGGGTCAGTATGTTGCTCCTTTCGATTGGGGCCTGGAGGCCAGCATGTTGTTCCATTCAACTGTGCCTGGAATCAGTGCAAGATGTAATTTTTGTTTCTGCCTCCTTCGACTGGGGGTTGACAGCAGTGAGGGATTGCCTTTCGTCTGGGTCTGGAAGTTAGCATGGTACGCCTTTGGTTGTCTCTTTCGTTTAACCTGGGGGCTAGTATGGAAGCCAAAGGCTTCGTTCCCTACTTCCTGTTTCCTGTTTCCTTCGTTTGAGATGTTAAATAGAAACATGGCCTAAGGCCATGCTAGCACTGCCTTAAGGCCATATTAGTTCTTAAAAATATTTGTAAGAAACCAAAAAGAAAGGCAATGACAACAAACTAAAATGGTGTAAACTAAAGAGGAACAAATGCTATGTATATGTTTGAAACGAAAATGAATTTTATTTACATGTTGTGCTGGAAATGAAGGATCCAAGGGTAAGGATGACTTACCTTGCTTGGGGCTGGGACGTTTGCTGGGCCTTTAGGTGATTTCCTTGAGTTTCCCTGGAATCGAAGAAAAGGAGCGAGGGTAGCGTCTATACTACTGGATTCAAAAGAGAAAAACAAGTGAAATGTCTTTCTTGCTGGATTCGAAGGGTAACAAGATGTAAGGATGTTTCAAATTCGAAGGGGACAAGAGTTTGGATTCTGGGTTTGTGTTTTCATAAGTGTTTAAGTGTTTGAGATTTTTATGGTGTTTGAGAAAATTTTGGAGATTCGTTCCTCTGGCCAAAAAGTCCTCTCTGAACATGTATTGGATCCTCTTATTTATAGGCAAGGTTGCCTGAAGCTTTTGGAGGGAAAACAAAAGGTTTGAACAAATTGAGTAACCTGTTCTTTGTAGCTTTTGAGAGACAGTGTATTGTTTGCTCTTTTGGTGTAAAAAGGGGGCAGTGTTTCAGGAATGCTGTGCAACAGTTTTGGCCAGTGTGCCAGGTCTGAACTTAGCAGCAAGCATCTTTGAATATCATCCTTTCATTTTGACCCTTCTTCGACCAGACTCTTATCCAAGCAATACTATTTGATTTTCCTCTAACAAGTGCCTTTCGACTGAGTCATTTTTGTGCATCCTTCGAAGGAGTCAAAAGTGTGACCCTTGGATGGGTCACCAAAAACATGCCTTAACGTGGGCTTGTAAATCCTTTGAATGGACCATCAAGCATGTCCTTTGAATGGGATGCCCAAAGTTGGATTCGAAAGATACTGATTTGAAAGGTAACAGTTACAAATGAAACCTTGTGAAGGTGGTTCTATCCAGTCAAAGGCTTGCCTGCCCAAAGGTCCATGTGGCCAAACGAAGGAGTGTACGTAGGGGGTCCTTGCTTTGTGACTTCATGCAAACATGCAAAAGATCTATGTTCAAACGAAGCTTGCATGAAGAGAACCAACATGCCCAAACGAAAGGTGTGACCAGTAGCTTGTACTCAAGGATTCATGTGCCCAAATGAAGCAAGCACGAAGGGAGTCAAATGTCCAAATGAAGCTTGCAACAAAGGAACCACATGACCAAACGAAAGGTGCATGCAGGAGGCCAAAATGTCCAGATTCGAAAGAGGCACATAGGAGGCAAAAAGTGCAAATCGAAGGATGCCAAAAGGGAGACTTTTGCCTTGGAGTTGAAGGAGGATACAAGAGGCCTTGTGCCTTGTGAATCTAAGCCAACGTGCCAGAGGCCCACGCCCATTCGAAGGATGCAAGCCAAACTTGCCAATCAAAGGAGCTAAATTGAAAAACACTTGTTTTTCTCCAAATTTGTCAAAATATTATTTTTATCTGTTTTCTCCCTTTTTGAAAGTTTCCTTTTAATCTTGGTACTGAAAATCCCAATGTACTTGTGCAAGCTTGAACCTTGAGGATCCTTGTGAGAAATACCTTGAAAAGTGAGAGGGAAAATTTTGGGGTACAACATAACCCAAAAATTTAAAAGTAATGTAAAAAGTAATAAATCTAATGACAGTAAAATATGAATCTAATGTCCGTGAAATAAATCAATCTAATAAATGACTAAATGGATTGGTGTGAGGGTCCATGTATTTGACGTGATTTGGGCACACGAGCTTATGAGATCTGGCGTTGAACGGTGAGAATCTTTTGGTGAGGGGTAAAGGGTGATACTCAAGAGTAGGAAGGGTGGAAGGAGTGTTTGGTGTTTCTCCTTGGTCCTCTAAGGCATAAATCCAATTCTCCTTATTATGGATACTTGTTCTTTCTTGGTTTGGTAAATAAAAGCGATGAATGAATTCCTTATTAATGAGGATTTTATACTCATTAATCCTGAAGTAAACTCGTTTCCCCATGCATTTTTCAAGACAATGGTTCATGTCCAGAAATATAAAACCATAGTAGGGTACTAGGTAGGTGAGCTTGTTTCGGAGGCCAAGGGCAAAAGCAATGTGTGTAACTGTACCTCCTACATGGATAGGTCATACTGCATATATGGCTATTCGTCCTAGGTTTTCTATGAGAAAAGTGCCTAAAAAAGAATAAATAACTCCTCTGCACTCACATGTTCACTAGTTTCACTTCTACAAAAGAATGTCTGGGGTAAAATCATTTGGAAGTACCTTAATGCAAGGTTATGGATAAGATTTGAAAACTATGTTGACGGGTCGGGGCTTCGGTTACTGGTAATAGCTTTCTAGAAAGTGTCAAAGATGTCTTGCATGTAATCATCAATGGGAACTTCAAGTGCACCCGTTCGACTATACTGGAATCCTAAAAGGAGGGAAAAATCCCGGTGGTTTAACTTGTAATCTCGCCCAAATAACCTAAAGGAAATCAGGCCTCTATTGAATCCACGACCTTGATACGACTGGTAAGTAAGTGAACTAAGGAACTCGAGGGTAAGGTTCCAGTAAGTTAGATTTTTGGTTTTCTGCATACTCATCCCATTCTACCTGGTTACACATGTATCTGATGTTGGCCTCAATCCCTAAGGATTTTAAGCAAGTGGATTCAGGGTATCTGATGGGTAACATATGTCTCTCAGATAGGAACACATAACGTTTCCTCTAGGCTTCATCTCTGAATTGAATGTGCATGTCATCAAAGTTCTGCATTTTGAAAATATAGTTAGTGTGAATAAGCAACGTAGAATGATAAGACCTGAAATGTAGAAAATCACACAAGTTAGTTTCTGTTAGAAGAAATAATTCACTGTTTAAATAATAGGGGAAATAATATATATAAAGGAAATTATGGGTTTCCTCCCATGTAGAACTTGTTTAATGTCGGTAGCTCGATAATTTAAGGAGGAAATCAAGGTGGCTCTTTGGCTTTCAGGGCCACTTATCAAGCCATCTTTCATATCCGTCACCTTTTCTCTTCTTTCAACTGTTGAGTGGTTCATACTTCTGATACTTTGGGGATGGCTCTGGCTCTATCCTAAGAATAGGTTTTTTCGTTTTTGTTTTAATTCCTTCACTAACCTCTACAAAGGTTAACGTTTTAAGATTTATAACTCTACCAGTTTTAAGGTCCTCTAGTTTTTGCTTTTTACGTAGTGCCCTAGACATCATAGCATATCCTTTGGACTTAAAACCTACCTTAGTGTCTACAAAATTTAGTGGAAAAAATTTTGTTACCTTTTCCTTATTATCTTCCTCAATCTCATTATTACTTCCCTTAGAACCCTCGGTTGGGTTTTCATTATCGGTTGTTATAATATCAGTATGCTTCCTAGTAGGGAGTCCTCTAGGTGTCTGGGCAAGCAGGGAAGTTTTAGTCTCTAATTATTTGTTTCTAGTTACGAGAGTTTCGACTACAGTGTTCAGTTGCCTAAGGGTTTCGTTAATATGGAGAATTTGGTTTCTGAATTCCTTATTCTGGAGAGTTTGTGTTGTCATAAACCTCCGCATTATAGATTCTAGACTACAGAGAGTTTGTGTCTCAATGAAATTCTCCATTATTATTTCTAGGTTGGATCTATGGGAATTTTGTGGTTCCTCAAAATACTTGGGGGGGGGGGGGGGGGGGTTATAGAGAAAACTTGGGTGATCTATTCACGTAAGATTAAAGTAATTTAAGCAAAATTTCCCTAGTTTAGACGGTGTAACAACATGGTTACAATATTTGACGAAATTGGTCCTCAACAATGGCGCCAAAAACTTGATGGATGATTTCTGCAAGTATACAGAGTTTATCATAGTAATATAAAGAGTGTAGAACCCACAGAGACCAAATGATAAACCTATCATTTTCTATTTCTACAGTGTTTATCTAAGAAGATCTAAAATAAGGAGTGGAGTGGGAAAATAAAATGAAATAATAAACTCTAAGTAATTCTGAAATGCAATGCTGAAATGCGGATCTCATCAATTCGTTGATACTCTTATTGTTCCTAAAACTACCTATGGGACAATGTTTTCTCCTTTGAAAAAGAATTAATTAAAAAAGGAATCGTTGTATAACGAGAGCCGAATTTTACTCTAGTTAATATCGTTTGCTCTCACGTGCCTGTTGCATTTTGATTTATAGACGTAAATACCTCTTTTATAAATTAGTTTCTTTTGCTCTGACGAAAAGTTGTTTTGATTGGAAAATTAGACTTTAAAGGGCGCTCTTCTTTCGCTCGAACAACCAGATCTTAAACTCATAAACGTGTCTGAAAATAATTTTAAAATCACTTTATGAAAATATCAAACTTTCCTAATTAAATAATAAAATGCTTTCGAGGTGTTTATTAATATAAAAACTAAATAACTTAAATCTTTAGAACCAGACGGCTTTCGATCTTACTCGGTGTATTTACGGTTCTACTCTCGTAGTAACTGATCAAATGAAGTTTAGAAAAATTGTAATAAAATTAAAACAGCCCATAAGTATTTCTAAAAGAACAACAATTAGAGTAGCATCAAATTGAATATCCTCACATTCCAACACATTAGATTTAGTCGGACATGGTTATAACAAACGATGAAGCAATTGAATTTAACATGAAACTAAACATAATAGGCATGGAAAATAAGAATTAAAACATGAAATTGATAGATATAAAATAAATAAATAAAAGAACATGCAAATAAATAAAGAAACGATATAACAAAAGTAATACGATTAATAAAAACCTGCTCTGATGGAGACTTGAATATGGTACAAAATAAATTGCTGGAAAATTTGAAAGGAAATGTAAATGGCGGTGTTGTACCCCAAAATTTGCCCTCCCATATTCTCCAAGATTTGTCAAGGTCAATCTCCAAATGGTTCAAAATCTCTCAAGGGTTGCACAGTCCAATTGCCTCCTAACACAGTCAAAATTAGGGTTTTGGTTCTTGCAAAGAAGATGAGGTTTTCAAGGGTCCAATAAAGTCCCATATGCCCGTATACATTGTCAAGCATCTATATGTCAAGTTTCAAGACTCACAGCATCAAGTTGCACAGTCAAAAACCCAAATTGCTTCACAGTCAACTGCAGGGGCAAAATGGTCATTTGACAGTCAAAAGTCAAAAATTTTGGTCAACATCTTATTTTGAAGCCACAATCATCATTTGATCAATTCTTGATCATGATTCCACAAGCATGGCTCAAACAGTCTCAAGATGTCAAAAGTTTCTATTTTTGGACAGTTGAAAAGTCAACTGCAACTTGACCAAGGCATAACTTTTTCATGGTTCATCAGAAAAATCCCATCCAATGCTCATTTTGAAGGGGATGACATTTCCTACAACTCATCTTCACATTCCAAGTCCAAGAAATGCTCTCACAAAAAGTTATCAATTTCAACATTATAGGTCATTTTCAAAAGTTAACAAAAAGGCACTTTAAGTCAAAGACCATAACTTGAGATTGGTAAATCAAAATGACATGGGACCAAAGAAATTGGTTAGAGGACTTCAAGACCTTTCCAAAATGTCCAGGAACATGTTCATAGCTTCAAAATTGAGCAAGATATGCATTGGAGAAGTTGGGAAAGTTTTGTGAAATGGCCAAAGTCAACTATCCTTGAAATTTCATTTTTGACAAAAAGGGCCCACTTTTTCCACTTGGTTCAGATTGGCCATGCCTCCCACGTGTCCCACAGTTTATTTCAAGATTAAAAATTAATTTTTCCATTTTTATTTAATTTTATTTGATTTAATTCATTTTAAATCTTTAAAATTCAAATAAAAATCAAGAAAATTAAATAAAGAATATTTTGTGGCTTGAATAGCTTTGATACACCATGAAGCACATACCAAACTCGTGCAAGACCTATTTCAAGCATAGAAATTCAAATTTGAAGCAAATATGGCAAGTGGTTTAATGGTGTTCATGGCAAAATCAAAACTTCATTGCAAAGGCTTAAAGGTCCATTATTCTGATTGATTCTCATTACAAAACATATATGCAAGCCTTCTATATCCAATAGACGACCTAGAACTCTCACAGACAGCATAAGCAATCTCAAAATTTCAAAGGAAAAGTGTGAAACTGAAAACTACCTTCCAGCATATTTCAAGCCTCTCCTTTGATCCAAACACACTCCTGACCCTTCCAGGAACCTTTAGCCATCATAATTAAGCGTAAAACCTCAAGAACTCGTGCCATACAAGTCACACAATTTACACTCTTTCTCAAAATTACAGTCATACATTTATGCATTTTTAACTCTTTTCATTGATTGCATTATACTCACAGGGTCCAAATGAAGCTTTCTATATAATTCAATTTGATTATAATGCCCTGGATTGAAAATTACCATTAGAGATTTCTAGGTTTTCAGAGCTTTGAAATTGGGGTTTTTCTCATGCTGTAAAATTAAAACTCCAAACAGGCATGGTTGAAATCAGCTGGATGAGACGAACGTGATGGATACCTCGCGCCTTTTTTATATACAACGAGCGCCTAGTCGCTATTTTTCACAGTTTTGTTTTGTGGGGGTTTAAAACCCCTGCTATGTGTTCTTTATTTTGCAGGAAAAGCTTGAATACGAAGGGCGTGGCAATAAGGGATTGGTCCATTCAAATCACGCGCCCTTCATTTTTATTTTTTCAGCATATAACGCGTGTTTTTCATATTATGTTTCTTTTCTATTTTATTAACAAACAAGCGCGTTTGGTTCAGTGGTTGGCTGTGTACTTGGTATTCACTGGGACCTGGGTTCGATCCCAGGTCCCCACCAAACTTCATATTATTTTTCTTCCTATGCTTGTGTGCAGCGTCTCATCAAGCTTCCATCATACACCTCATCCAGGAGTCAGCCATGTATCCATGGATGCAGATCTAAAGGCCCAGAAAGCAAGAGCACCATGCTCAGGAGTTAACAGCGCTCCACTCAATCCAAGAAGTCAAACGAGCTGAAGATTCAAATGGGCCAGGATTCAACAATGCACCTCCATCTGGCCCAGTACCCCCTTCCCTTGATTTATTCTTTTCTTTTCCTTTTTTTTTTACATTTTTCTTAATTATTAACCTTTTAATTATTTTTATTATTAACAAATTAACATAACTAACATATTTTTTTATAAAAAATCAAAAAAAAAGAACTAACATCATTATTATTATTATTATTTTATTTTGTAAATAAATATTAAATAAATTAGTTTTAATTAGGCCATTTTAACTTTTAATTTTATTTCTTTTTATTTTATTCCATAAAAAACATAAAAAATACAAAAAATATTTTCCTTTAATAAATTAATTAATTAGTTTAATTATTAGTTACTAATTTCAATTAATCACAAAAAAAAGACAAAAAAATTCAATTTCTTTTCTTAAAAGGGTCAACACCCTTAGAACATTCCGATTTAATTTTTATTCGCGCATAGTTTGTTATTATGTAATTGCTTTCAAGATTGTAATAGTAATTAGGTTTATTGTTTTTATTTACTTTCCGTACTTATTTACCAATAACGGGTCTTTGTATTTTTGGCGATGTATAGACCCGCGCCTTGTAATAGCGTAGGATTTATGTTTCCGCAATTTACTTTCCGCACCCCCTAACTGTTAAAAGCATGAAAGAATGTATGGTAAATAAAAACAACTCGTAGCTCACTAATTACAAAGACAAACATTAACTGAATACAACACACAAAGCACATGCCACTCTTAGGGTACGCTTCACTCGTTGCCTCGAAACGTGGTCGTCAAGTATAGGATGTTTTAGCAGTCGCTCTTATGTCTAAGATCCAGTTGCCTCGAAACAGTTGCCTCGAAACGGTTGCCTCGGATAAAAAGGATCTAGGACATTAGGGTTACTTCTAAGGTGTCCTACCATTGCTTCGGTGACCACACTGTCCCGATAATCGAATTGACCCGAACACCTCCAACGATGGTGCTACCTACCTCTCAATGGTGGGATAGCACTATCTAAAGGACACTTACACAGCTTAATTCCT